GCCCCGCCCCGCCCCGGGGGCAGGGGTGTTGGGGGGCAGGCAGGGGGAGGGGGGCAGGTCTCCCCGTTACAAGGAAGGTTTTGGGGGGCTGACCCCCAGGATGTGACGTGTGAGCAGGAGGGCAAACACCCCCCCATTGTCATCCGAACCGAAAACCCCGGTCGTTAGGAAGGGGCCTCGTTGCGCCCCGCCCCGCCCCGCGCCAGCAGCGCTGGGTTCCCTCCCGGAGGCGGGTGGGGGTGGAAGTGTCGGCGTGAGATCTGTCCCTTTTCTAGTGCTTTGGGTTGGAATAGCGCCTAGTCAGGGGGAAAAATAACGCCAGCTGGCGCGTGGCATCCATACGGTGAAGCTGAAGGAAGTCGGGAAACATAGATATTGCGGGCGGGAACGTGCTGACAACGAAGGGCCACGTCCGTGTCGCCTGCCGCGGCTGTTGCCATCCGGCGGTGGTTCACCCTGTTCAGTGTCCGGGTTTGGGGGTTTTCCTACAACCGCGGAGACACAAACACCCCCTGCCGGGCCGACCTTTCTCGTGGCGCTTTCTGTCTTCCCGAGCGTCATCGTCCCACCGTCCGCGGCAACATTTCTGCCGCAACAAACCGCGCGGTGGCTTCGATCAGATGCGTCGAGGTCGTGGCTTGTTATCAGGCTGGCAGAAGCATGGCCTCTCCCAGCTGCGGGGAGCCGGGCGGGTGCTCGGTGCCGCTGGGAATTAGGCCTCGCTCTGGCGAGCGCTGCCCATTCCCTGGGGCTCCGGGTTGGCAACGATCTGCAGCAGCCCCGCGGGTATATAAAGCACCGTGGCGTCTGTCGGTGCGAGGGCAGGCACCGGATCGCGGTCAGAGGCAGCAGGGTTGCGGGGCTGTTGCTCCCCAGTTGATCCCGCGCCCGGCTCTGGGCGGGCTGGCGGCGGGGCAGCCCCCTCCTCTCCGTCGTGCAGAGGTGGCACCCAGCAGGCCCAGCTGCAGGCTTCTCGATGGAGACGCTGGGCTCCTTCGTGTCTCCTGCCGACTGCCCAGGCGGACGGGAAAGCGGGACCTGTTGATCTTTACCGTCCCTCTCTTGCCTTGCAGCTTTTCCTGGACGATGCCAAAGTGAAGAACTTCATCACCTGCTTTAAAGGTAAGGTCCTTCCTTCTCTGCAAGCTGGGCCCTTCAGTCTGCCTCCCGGTTCTGCCATGGCCAGGGTCCCTTTTCCTGGAAGGAGGCATAACGCTGCCTCCCTGCCGCCACCATCTGCCTCGGGGCAGGAGCTGGGTCAGGACCGTGTGGGGTGCTGCAGGACACGGAGCCGTCGTGGGCGTCTCCTCTGAGCCCCATTCATCCTGAGGGGTGCCGGGCTGCAGGGAGGGGCCCTGTTTCCCTGAGAAGGGCTCAGGTGCTGTGCTGCAGATGGATCCAGTGAGCCCTGGGATGGTGCTGTGCCATGGATGGGTGGGAGAGAGCTGGGTGGGGGTAGGTGCCTGCCCTGATGCTCTTGACCAGATGGGCCCAGCGCGCTGTTACCCAGTGCTGGGCAGGGGGCTCCTCCTGTGGCTGAGAGGGGCCTGGAGAGGAGCGCACTGAACGCAGGGTGCCTTGTGTCCGACCGTGCCGCCTGAGTGCTGTAAGAGCAGCCTGCACGTCCCCAAAGCCCACCTGGGAATAAGAGAGGCAGGGGCGCCCTGACCCCCATGGCATCCGGTCTCTTGCAGTGTCCATGGCCCCTGCTGCCCGCTGCCGGCTAGAGCAGGTCACACCTGCTTGAGGGAGCAGTGCTGTTGCTCCCCAGCGGCTGCAGCCTGCGGAGGTGGCCAGCCCTGGCGTTGATGCACGGTGCGAGCATCTGCCAGGAGACTACAGCGACGCCTGCGCTCTGCTACCCGCCCTTGGCAAGGGGCAACCCTGTTCTGTCTGCTTGAAGAGTGACAGCTCTGAGCTACGGTGGGACACAGCCGCCCCAGCTCCCCCACTAGCTGCAGAAATGCAAGGTCCCCTGCTGCCCAGGGGAGGGTTTTCGGCAGGAATCTCTACCTGCAGGGCTCTCGCTCGGACTTGTCAGCACTTTCTGCTGTCATCCGAACGGGGTCGTTCCTAAGTGTGTGTCTTTGTAGGGTCAGACGGGCTGGGCTCTTATACACCCCCCCAGCCGGGGCCTCTAAGTGAGAGCCATTCAGAGAAGTCCAGGTTGGTATGGCTAAGCTGGGAGCTGATGCCCGCAATCCTCACTTAGCCTCTTGTCAGCGTTTGATCTTCCTCCGGATCTGCACTCATCCCCTCTTTGTAGGTTGGCTTTAAAGAGCCACGTCTGCTGTGGTAATCCTTAATCAGGGGTTTCGTATTAGGGCTGGTGGATCACTGCAGACAGCTGAGCTGGTGCGTTATGGGAGCAGCCCCTGACAAAGCCAGGAACCCTTTACCCGTTTGGGGCTCGTGGGGAGGGAGAGCTTTCCTGTGGCTCGGTACCGAGGTGCCACCTCCCCCATGTAGTTGCTTGGTGTGGGGGAGTTGGGTATCCCACTGCAAAGCAGGCCTGGGGGAGCCCATTCTCTTGAAGCAGCTGCCACTAATCTGTCCCGCCCCCGATAATCGCACTCGGCGAGCAGAGCCTGCAGCAAATCGCAGCTAAACTCTAAATGGAGCCCAGAGCTCAGCGAGGGTTTCTGGGAACCCAGAGACAGGCTTTGGGTGCTAAGTCCCAGGAGCTTCTCCCTACACCCTACACCCCCCCTCCACGAGCCCCTGCCAGCACTGTGTGTGATCACTCTGGCTGCCAGCCAGGCTCAGGCTCCGTTCAGGGAGCATCGCATGCTAGGATCGGGCGGCTCTGAGCCATGCTCTGGCCAGCCCTCACTTAGCCCCTTCACACTGGTGGGGGCACGGGCTAGCTTGGGCTTGAGCTGCTGACATGAGGTGTGTCCCCCCATAAGAGACCTTGTTCATACCGAGACCCAACACTCTTCGCTGTTGCTCTGCAGCAGACTGCCAGGCAGACAGCTGCATTTGTGGCAGTAGCTAAGCCCTCGGCAGACCCCTGACCCCTCCAGAGGGCCAGGGTCTGGTAGGAAGGGGAAGGGAGCCAATTGTCTGAAGCGCCCAGTCCCTGAGCAGCACGTGTTTCACCTGCAAGGGGCCGTGGTGAGTGCTAGTGGCCTTGCCGTTGAGGGAGACAGCAGATAAAATTCAGCATGGATGAGTGTAAAGTGATGCACATGGGCAAAAATAACCCTAGGTCTACCTACACGCTGGTGGGCTCTACGTTAGCTGTTGGCACCCAGGGAAGAGACCTGGGAATCATTGCGGACGGGTCGCTAAAAACAACAGATCAGCAGCTATCAAAAAGGCAAACGCAAGGTCAGGGATGGCGAAGAAGTGAATTGTGAACAAAGCAGAAAGTATCACGATGCCCCTTTATAAACCCACGGGGCGTCCACACCATGAATGTTGTGCCCAACTCTGGTCCCCACACCTTCAAAACGAGAGAGAAGGGCAACAAGGTTGATGAGCGGCATGGCGGGGCTTCTCCAGGAGGAGACTAATAAGGCCAGGCCAGTTTAGAAAAGAGATGCTGGAGAGGGACAGAAGAAGGGTTTACAACACACTCGGTGGGAAAGAGAAAGTCACTAGGGATTTATTATGAGGAGAGGCTGAGGGACCTGGGCTGATTGAGTCTGCAGAAGAGAAGACTGAGGGGGGATTGAATAGCAGCCTTCACCTCCCTGCAGGGGAGCTGCAAAGAGGATGAAGCTGGGCTGGTCTCAGTGGGGGCAGATGGCAGGACAAGGAGCAATGGGCTCCAGTTGCAGCAAGGGGAGTTGAGGATGGATATTAGGAAAAACTTTTTCATGAGGAGGGTAGTAAAGCTACCCAAAGGGATTGGGGAGACTCCATCCTTGGAGGTGTTTAAGACCCAGGTAGACAAAGCCTTGGCTGGGATGATGTAGTTGGGGCTGGTCCTGCTTTGAGCAGGGGTTTGGACTACATGTGACCTCCTGGGGTCCCGTCCCACTCTCATTTTCTATGATCATTGACTATCTCTCGCTAGACAAGAACAAGGGGTCGCAACATGAAACGAGCTGGCTGTCAGTTTAAAACGAACACCAGGAAGTTCTCCTTTACCCGGTGTGGCATTACGGGGTGGGACTTGTGGCCACCAGAGGTGGTGGAAGCTGAGAGTTCAGCCACATTCAGAAGAGAGATGGGACACGTGCTTGGAGGAAAGGGGCATCAGGCACTGTTGAGCCTGGGGGCGAGGGGCACGGTCTCTGCATCAGACCTTCAGAGCTGGAGGCTGCAAGGGAGAGAGGAACAGGGGGAGAAACCCTGGTCAGACCCCGTCACTCTCCCAGCCTCCGCTCTCTGCCACAGGAGACTAGGCAGGTGGACCTAGGGTCTGAGCCAGTCCACGGCAGTTCGTATGTAGGGAGCGTTGTTGGGGTTCCCAGGCAGTGCCTCACTGGGGTGGCTGCAGGCTGCTGCAAGGCACCTGCGGTAGACGGTGCTTGCACCTGCTGGAGATTTCCTAGCAGGGCCTTCAAACAAAGCCACTGAGAGAGCAGTGGCCAATGTGCTGCCTGGTGTCACGGGGGCTGGGCAGGGGTGAGCGGAGCTCCCCGAGGGCACGGCAGCACAGGGCTGGGAGCCACAAGCACCCACAGTCCAGCCTCTGTGTCTGATTGATCCCTTAGCCCCCAGAGAGGAGACACCCTGCCCCCAGCCCTTGGTGTTTGCAAGGCCCCGGGTAAGCGCGAGGCGTCTGTATGGCTGAGGAGGGCGGCGTCTCTGTGTGGAGCAGGGTATGAATGGGAGCTTGGAGGCTCTCGTTAGCCGGGCTCGTGACCCAGATCTGCCAGTGCCTGTTCATCACCTGCCAGCGCCGGCCTTTGCCGCTTGCTCTGAGATGCTGGAGATCCGGTGCTCATCTCTGGTGCTTGCTTGCGTTCCCATGTTGCCAAAAAGCTCAGCTGGGGGATGTGAGCATTTATAGCAGGAAAGAGCGGCTTATCCCTGAGGGCAAGGCAGGGGGAACAGCCATAGGGAGGCAAAAGGATTTGGCTGAGGTCTCCCAATGGGGCAGTGGCAGAGCTGGGACTCGACTCCAGGTCTCCGTGCAGCAGCCTGACTTAGCCCACGCAGCTTTGTGCTGCCATTTAGGGGAGCCCAGAGCCCTCGGAGGAATTGCAGGGCACCGTCAGGTGGAAGCAGCCCCCCAACCTTTCTGCGGGGTGGTGGATGTGCTGAATGGGGCCGAGAGCCTGGCGAGCTGTCCAGGTCGGACGCAGGCCCAGCTGAGCTCCACCTTCCCATGAGCACAGCTTGTGGGCTGGGGCTGCGGAGCCTGGAGCTTTCCTGTGCACCAGGAGCCTGCCAGAGGGGTGCTGGGGTCCAGGCAGGGCTTGTTTAATGTCTTCCCCTCACCTTCCCTGTACGGTAACACTGAAGAGCTCACGTGAATGCACCCAGGGCTCTTACTACAGCCCCTCAGTCAGTGTTGGGAGCGGTGCTTGCACCAGCTCTCACTGAGGCAAGTAGCAGGAGGGGAATAGCAGCGCTGCCTGCTTGGCACCCACAGTCAGTGGCCCCTAAGTGCCCCCCCAACCTGTGCAAGGCTGTGACCTGTTCGGGCAGGGCACAACTGTGCAAGCGCTCGGGGCCCCGTGGATGTAATGGGCAGCCTCTCCAGGCCGTCTCCCTCCAGCCTGGCCGGTGCCCCTTTAAAACCCATTTGCAGTGCCTAGCTGCCAGCTCCCTGGCCCGGCAGCTGCAGCGCCTCTTGCATATTAATTTCATGCACACGATTACGTGGCTTCAGCTCTCGCTATTAATAACTTGTATTCACCCGCTCCACGTCCGCTAATGGCACCAAGCCTCCTGTCTGCTTAGCACTCTCCTCGCCGGCTGGCAGAGGCGGGTGTGGGCAGGTGACCAGGCACCTCCCTCCACTGTGGCCTACGTGACTGCCCGGCCACAGCGCACCCACTCGCGCTCCCACTGCTCAGAGCCACTAAGCAGCTTGATGAAGGAAGGAGGGCTGAAATCCCCCATTAGCTAATGAAGAAGGGAGCCCAGGTGGGAGGGATAAACGAACAAGCTGGTAGTCGCCGGCTGCCGCCAGCTGCTTTCTTGTCAAGGCAAGAGGCAGGTTTGCCCTGCACCCCCTGGCACGGGTTGGCTCCAGCGGGCAGACCCAGCATCGCTGCTTTATATAATCATTTGGAAAGTGCTCTGCGCATGCTTCATTGCCCTGGGCCAAAACTCTCCCTGCCAGCAGAAGCCGCAGCTCCGGGGCGGGTGGGCTTTTAATGCAAAAATAACTGGCGTGGGCATCAAGGCGTGGGTGCCCTTGGAAGAGCAGGGAGCTGGTACGTGCCTTCGTGCCCAAGCTGCCTGGCACAGCAGAGTGGGCAAGCCTTCCCTGCCCACAGTCTGCTGTTGTGCTCGTGAAGGGCCAGGGTCCTGTGCCGGAGGAGAGCCCCCGGCTTCTTTACCAGCCGGCCTCGCATGGGTCTCTGTGCCAACCCAAGGGCTCCTTGTGGGGGCAGGTTCTTGCCCAGCCCCCAGTAGCCAGGCATCACAGCCGGTTTCCCCGCAGCTCTGCCCCTCTCCCCAAGGACCCCCGGCCTGGAGTGAGCCGGGATGTGTCCTGCTTGGTGGCAGAGGCAGCTCTGCCGGAGGCCGGTTGGCAGGGAGATGTTCAGCCAGAATCGCGTCATGGGGCAAAGAGAAGGCAGATGATGTGGGGCTCGAGGCCCAGAGCGGGGAGCTGCAGCTCGGAGCTGATTTATGAGCCCCATTGCCAGCAGAGCTGGGGGCACCGCAGTGCCCAGGGGTTCAGACCCCTGCGCGCACCCGCTAATCCCCCGTCTGCAGGGCCTGTCTTGGAGGTCTTGTCTGCAGGGCTGGCGCGAGGCCGGAGGCCATGGAGAGTCCAGCAGGCACTGGGGAGACGATGAGACTCGGGTCGGGAATGGGATGGGGCTTCGTCCTCGCTCACTGGGCTCCCGGCCCAGCCCGGCTGCCCAGGGAAGGAAGGGGCGGCCAGGCCAGGCCAGCGCTCCCTGCTCAGGGGGCTGCTGCTTCCCTGGCACTGAGCCCCGGTCTCTCTCTTCCTCCCTCTTGCAGACCAGCAGTTCCTGGCCTTCTTCTTCAAGCAGCTGGAGGTGAACCGGAGCGGGCGGTACCAGGACACCTTCCCCTACCTGTCGCCCTGCGGCCGGGAGCACAACTACGTGCGCTGCGATGACCGCCCCATCGTCTTCACTCAGCTCCTGCAGGACGCGGGTGGGCATCAGCTGCTCTCCTACTGCGGCGCCGGGCCCCGCCTGGCCGTTGCCTTCAAGCCCACCAAGCTGGCCATGCTCCCCGAGAATGGCCGCCTCTACCACCCAGCACCCCCCAAGGCCGGCGGTGTGGGGCTGGTGAAGTCGGGGCTGGCATTCGAGCTGAGTTCCTGCTTTGAGTACGGTGAGGGCCCCGGGCAGCCCCCCACCCACTTCTGCTGGCAGGGCGAGCGCCACCTCCTCACCAACGAGCTGCTGCCCATCCTCCGTGCCTGATGCCCGGCGCGAACCCGGAGACTGCCCTGGCGGTGTTGGCTGGAAAGGGGCAGCCTGCCGTGCCCCGGGCCTGGAGCAGGGACTGCCAGCTCCGTCCACCCCCCGGGAAACCGGAGCAGGTGCGATGTGTGCTCCGGGCTGGTGTCATGACTGGCTGTGGCAGGAGAGGGGGGAGTCCCGGCACACCGCTCTCCCCCATGCCCATGCACTCGCTGCTGGGTGCTGTGCTCGTGTCCCGGGCCCCGGGGGAGAGCCATCCCCTGCTGGGCTCTCCGGGGAGGGGGCGGCATGCACGTGAGCCGCGCTCCTGTCTGTATCGGGGCGATTATCTCTGCCTGCGCTGGCCTGGGATTAGCCCAGGGACTTAAAGTGCCTTCCACACAGATTGCTGAGCTCTGCCGTGTTGTAGCCGCGCCGGATAACCCAGATTGCACCAGGGAAGTGTCCTGCCCCTCCAGGCTCGTGGCGGGGGGGCTGCCGCAAGGTAGCGGGACTGGGTTTGCTGCCGCGGCTGCTCCGCCCGGGCCCAGCGGGGCTGGTCTCCCCTGCCGCTGAGCTGCTCCCCCACTGGGCACGAGCAGCCCGCAGCCCCTCGGCCTGTTTGTCGGGGCCAGGGTGCGCCCTGACAGCGCCGTCTGGGCGCTCGCCCTTGCTGCCCCGCTGTCCCGCAGTTGCCCCTAGCCAGGGAGGCACAACGCCACCCAGCTGTGTTCCCCTTGCCCCATGCTGGGGCTCCCTGGGTGTTAGCAGGAGGCTGGGCCCTGCTCCGGCCTGACCTGGCTCAGGATGGCCGTGCCGCGGGCACCCGAAGGGGAACCAGGCCACCCCGACGGGCTGAGGGGAAGCTCAAGCGCCCAGATGCCGCCTGCCCCGGGGCATCTCTCCATCAGCACCTGGTCACGAGCAGACGGGTGTAAGGGGGGGCGGGTTGGCGCGGGTGCCTGTTC